GCTTAATTTCTTCAAAATGCGTGGCATATATTCAGAAAACTGACTAATGGAATGGTTAAATGCAGTATAGAGGCGTGAATGAGGAACAGGCAAACGTAAGGAGGCAGTGGTTATTTATATAGCAGCACTTTCAGTGTATCCGCGCTGAGTCCGGCAAGTATATGTTGACCTTAGGAGAGTCCAGTAGTTTATGACCAATATAGAATGAATGTGACTAGAAAATACTGAGGAGGAAAAGAGAGGGTGGGGCCGCTCCAGCTCACAATGTTTATATAGATGGGGATTTGAATCTGCACATGGTGGCGAAGGGAATGGGATTGCCCGAATGTCAACACAGAACTGCCAAATAGATAAAGTACATGCAGGCAAGAGTATTGTCCTGCCATGTGGATTGCAGGAAATAGCGCCAAATCTACTCTACCATTATTGGCATACCCTCAGTAACCTCTATAGTTTTGCGGCAGAATGCTAAAGAAATTCTCTGAACACCCAAACTGAGCGATTGGAATACTGGTACAGTGAAGGTAAAACTGCTCATAATGTGGTCCAGCTGAATCCTAATCATAACCCCAGCACGGTTCTTCATCTCGCTATGTGCTTATCCCCTCTACGGTACCAAGTAAAATGTATGTTCCTTATACTAAACTCTTGTCTATGCTGGTCCACAAAATCACCCTAATCAACTGCTGCAATTTGATATCCACTGTGTAAAGCTGGCAAAAGCATATAAATGCAAGTATTGCGAGTTTACAGTCGCCGCCAACCCAAGTCGGCATTGGGCGCACTCTCCATCGTCCAAAGTCTGCAGCTAATCCGGAATCAGCGTGAAACAGGAGCAGCCGGTGCTGGTTTAAGGCGCTGCTGCATCGGGTATTCGAATTGGCCGCCAGAATTGGCCAAAAGCGGTACTTTTTCTAGTGCAGTCTGAGGCACAGGACGAGAATGAGCAGCGGAAAATCATTCTGGAACATGCTCTCATCAGATTGCGAAAAATAAGTCATCTATTTTACTGCGTGCGACGAGTGCTCGGCATTTCCGAGCGAGATTATCATCATCAGCCAAGCCCTGGAAAAGCCGAGCAGGATGGTGCGATTTGGGGGACGGGGGCTGGCTTATCCGATTGAGTCGCCGCGCTCTTTATCTTTTCGTCAGATAAACCCACTGTGAAGGAAAAGATGATGCCAAGTGCGAGGCATAAATAGCTGGGGTGGAAGAATCTCGTAGCGCATCATCAGATTTCTCCTCACCTGCGCTTTTCCATTCCTCCACCGCATCAATTTCCACACTCTTCGCCTGTACATAGTAGCAAAAAAACAATAATAACCATGTCATTCTCCATTTCCTCGCTTCTTATCCCGACACAGCCTGAGCAGCAGCTCGAGCGGCAGCAGACTGGCGGTGTGGCAGCAGCAGTACCTGTGGCGGCAACAGCACCCCTGGCCAACACGGCACCACTGCCGGCTGTCCGCACCATCAAGCCCACCAGCACTCCGCGGGTGGCCCGCCAGCCAGCCGGCCCCATCTCGTGCATGAACTGCAAGACCACGACAACGCCGCTCTGGCGGCGGGATCCGGCGACAGGCGCACACCTGTGCAACCGGTGCGGGCTCTACCTGAAGGCGTACAACACCATGCATCCGCTCAAGAAGACCATCAAGAAGCGCTCGTCACCGCCTGCCAATCGCGACGGCTCGTCGTGTTCTGGCGGCTGCTGCTCGCCATCGCAGTCGTCGTCGACTGAGACCGAGTCCGCCGGCACGTGCCCTGGCAACGGCCAATGCGACGGCACAGGCGGCAGCTCGTCGTGCGCTGGCTGTCCAGCCTACAACCAGAAGCAGCTGAGCCAGGACGGACACGCGGTCAAGCGCAAGCGGGTGTCGCCCAAGCAGCAGATGCAGCAGGGCCTGACGCCGACGTGCTACAACTGCGGGGTCGACTACACGCCGCTCTGGCGCCGCGACCCCGACGGCAACGTTATCTGCAATGCGTGCGGGCTGTACTACAAGCTGCACAACAAGATCCGGCCTGTGACGATGAAGCGGGCGGTCATCAAGCGCCGCAACCGCACAACGCCGCAGCACAGCCGCATCGAGCGGTCGCCCAGCATCGACAGCGATGCGACAGTGTGTGAGTCACCGACGCTGTGTGGGCTCGAGAGCCTGGCGATGGCGGTCGAGCTGGCTTCGGATTCTTCCAGTAGCAGCAAGAGCAGCATTAGTGCCACCAGCACCAGCAGTGCCACCAGCACCAGCAGTGCCACCAGCCAGACGCAGGACGACGACGGCGACTCGGTGATGCTGGACAGCCTGGCCAGTGTTGCGTCTCTGGAGTCAAAGCAGCAAGCAGAGAGCTACAAGGACGAGCTGCAAAGAGAGTGCGAACGCCTCCGGCAGCTTCTGGCAAGGTCCACCGCCCTTTTTGAACACGCTTTGAATAATAAACTAGGTGCGAGCGGTTGATTTCCGAAAGAGTGATTGGCGAGTGGCAGTGCAGCCGCTGCTGCCGCTCCTGATGGGTGAGTGGGTGGTGGTGGTGGTGGTGTGGTGGTGCCAGAATGAGCGGCGGCGAGTGAGAAAAACAAGGGTCTTTGACGAACTGGAAATTGCTGGCTGGCTGCAACATTCACTGCGAGCCCATGTCACGCGTTTCTTTTTTATAAAAATAATCTTTGTCGTTCTCAAAAATCCCCCATTCGGCCACAACACAATGATGCCAAGGTTGGCACTGCGGCCTGGCGTCGATGTCGTCGTCGTCAGTTTTTGCGAGATTATTTAAGGTCGTTCGATTCATCTTTTATCTTCCTCCTTCACACAGCTTTTTTTTATTATCTCCACGCCTTGTTTTTTGTATTATTATCTTTTTCAAGCTCCTCGATACTCCAATATTCCAACCTCTCTTCCAGCTCCAGTATTAGTCATGTCTGAACCTGCCAAAGACCATATTGTGTGCTTCAACTGTGGTGTCGACACAACACCGCTGTGGAGGCGAGACACTGAGGGCAACGTAATCTGCAACGCCTGCGGACTGTATTTCAAACTTCACAACGTCGTGCGGCCCATCTCAATGAAGCGCACGGTCATCAAGAGACGGCGACGGACTCCGGGCGTGGGCAACAAGAAGCAGGCCAAGGAGCAGCGCAAGCAAACCGAGAAGGCCGCCAAGGCCATCCTGATGATGCACGGGCGCCAGATGCCGCCTGTGCCAGCACTGGTGCCATCCTACCGGACAGCCAGTGCCATGTCCGAGGAGGACGTATCGTCAAATTATTCGTCAGTGCCATCGTCGCCCCAGATGGCGGTGGTGGTGATTCGCAGTGACGAGGGAATGAACTGCGGCGGCATCCAGGCTTCGTTGGGAATGGAGTACCTGATGAAGGCAGCCGAGCTCAGCCCACCGCTGGAGCCAACCAAAAGGTTCTGTGAGCCCACATTTAGCCTGCTGGACTCGCTGGCGACCGTGGCCACGGCCGAGATTGCTCTAACAAAACGGTTCCCAACCTCGTTTGGCAGAGCCGACGTTGAGCGCGAGTGCGAGCGCCTGGCCAGCATCAACAACAACACCTTGTAAAAAAATTTTACTGCCTCATTTTTCACTTGTTTTTTTCTTCCCCCATTTCATTGAAAATAATTTTTTCCGTATTCACAATTCACAAATGATATTTATCTTTATGCCAAGAGCTCCTCCGCTTGGTCCAGCTGCGACTTGAGGAAGCCAAGGCGAGCGGCAAGTGCCAGAGGATTAACGCCCTGGAAGCACGGGCCTGACGGCGAGTCTATCGGCTCAATCTCCTCGCTATCTTCGCCATCGCTCAGCTGCGGGACACGCAGCGGCGATGATAGTACCTCCACTATTGTTGCCGCTGCCGATGCTGGTGCTGGTGCTGGTGCTGATACTGATGCTGCCTTTGCAAGCAGTGTGGGTTCTGTGGACTTCAAGGAATCTTCCAGTGCTGTGGGTTGGGGGTCAGTGGACTCGTCTTTGTCAGCTAGCGACATGGCGGCCAGTCGGTCCGGCAGCACCAGCACTCGTCGCATCTCCTGGCCGGTGGGTTCCTGTGGCGTGTCCTGAGCACCGGTATTCCGGGACTCGGTGTACTTTGACCAGTAGCTGCTGTTGCCGGAGCTTTCGGATGCACTATAGGCGCTGTTGGGTAGAGTGTCTCGGTATCTGCTGGGTTTCGTGTAGGGGTCTTGTACGACCATCATATTCTCAACATAATCGGCCGAGTCGTACTGGTCCCAGTATGAGCTTTCGTCGTAGTCCGCCATGTGTGTGTGTATATAATAGAGTTAGGAAGGAGTTGGTTAAAGAATGCTCTAGTCGCTGTGTGCTGCGGGGAAGGAGGAAAATGAAAGGGGGAAATGACGGCGTCCTTTTAACCAGGGGGCTTATTCTCCGGCTGTCCTCGATTGGGCAGCCAGAGTAAATAGACGGCACGGCAAATCGCTGTGCACGCGCCTGGGCTCTGGCTGTTGATAAGAAGATAAGCCCGCAACCCAGGATTTGCTGCCGCTCACCCCTTTGCCGCTCACTCTGCCTGCCGAAACACCTCCTGCTGTTTGAGCATGTGACGCCCTCTTCCCCCTTTGGGCTGCCAAATGAGGGCATGCTGTTTTTCGCGAGCCGCAGCAGCAGGCTTGGGTGCGCCAGCCGCCTGCGCTGCCGGCCAGGAGCAGTTTTCAGACCATTCCCACGACAGCTTTTGATATGCCAGTGTGAGAGCACGCCGATTAGCCAGGATCTAATCGGGAGCGGTTTCCCGCGCCCAGGGTCAAGGCTGCGCCGTGCAGTGCCGGGCAGATAGCAGCGCGAGCACCACCTGATCGAGCAAAAACATTGCTGTGAGAAAATATCCTCTGCCGAGGATAAAAACAAGGCGTTCATCTCTCAATGGAGCCACCCCATTCTCCTTTTCCTTCCTCGTCCCTCCGCTTCTTTTATCTCTATTCATTGCCTGCACTCCTTTGAACAATATACCTGCTTATCATGGTGAGCACCAGCGACGGCACGTCAAGCTGCCCCTGAATGCAAAGCCCACCAACAATCCCCACCTGCAATGTAATGCAAACAAACCCGCCACCTCAATACCTGTGCCCACTGACCGCCGGCCTGCCAGCATATCTGGGAGTCTCTCGCGGCCACTGAGCTTCTGCTATCGTCCAGCCGCGGTCCCACACTACAACGTCGCCCATGAGCCGCGTTCTGCGCAATGTCGCCGACGCCGACGACAGCGACTCGTCTCGTCAACATTCACCGGAAGAAGCTGGAGAAGGCGGAAATTGCGCGGCGCCTGAAGCGGCACCTGGTCACGCGTCCTGCCAGCAGCAAGCAGCGTGATTCGGTGTCGTCGAACATGCGCGCCGGGTCGATTGGTTACACCAGTATCAACGACTACAGCGGGTACGCAGGTGACACCAACGAGTACTATGACGACGACAACGACGACATTGACGACACAAACCGCGAGGTGGTTGACCCTACGCTGCCGTCGGGCGACATTACGCACCAAATTTACCGCTGGCAGAAGCAGCAGCAACAACAGCAAAGCAATAGTGAGGCGCCCCTGGCGGAGGATGCTCGCAGAGACTCGGTCAGCAGACGTCGGTCGTTTTCGGGATGGGACTCCGACTCGGAGTGGAATCTGGGATACACCCGTGATCAGATCAACGTGCCTGGTGGGTTCCGCGCCAGTTCATGCAGGAGCGCGCTGGCCGCCAAGGACTCGCGCCGCCGGGGCTGTTGACCGAGAGTTTCATCGACTTTATTGCTCTGTATGGCCATTTGCCGGCGGTACTACCTCAGTGACGAGGACGAAGAGTACCTCGACAGCCGGGTTGTGGCAGCAGCAGCGGACGAAGGCAGGGGATGAGCGCACACCGCTGCGACGGACAGCCAGCAGCCTGCAGTCATCGGCGTCAAACAAGAAGGCGTTCTTTTTGCTCATGAAGGCGTTTGTCGGTACCGGCGTTCTGGTTCTTCCCCGTGCATTCTACAATGGCGGATTGCTGACGTCGTGTGTGCTGATGATATGCGTCGCAGCGTACGCCTGGCACTGCATTCTCCTGCTGGCCGAGGTGTATCTGAAGGTTGGCGGCAGCTACAGTGAAATCGGACTGAAGCTGTATGGGCGCACAATGCAGTAGCGGTAACCGCATCGATTGTGCTGGCGCAAATTGGCGGGTGCTGCGCGTACACCATTTTCGTCGCGCAAAACTGGCGCAACGTGTTTAACACGCTGACAGGGTGCCAGGCGACACTGGGCACAATTTCTGGGTGCTAATTCAGCTGGTTGTTTGTACCGTTGGCGATGATCCGGCAGATCAGGTACTTTGCGCCGGTTGCCATGGTTGCCAACATCCTGATCGTTATCAGCCTGGGCTACTTGCTTGGCTTCGACGTGTGTCAATCGCGCAGAATGGTTCGGCGCCCATCATGCATTACAATCCGGTGCGGTTCCCACTGCTTGTGGGCACCGCCGTGTACTCGTTTGAGGGCATAACGCTTGTTATCCCGATTCTGGAGAGCTTGAAAGAGAAAAAGACTTTGGCTGGG